AACAAACAAACAAACAAACAGTTTTTCTTGGCTAAATTTAATCTAACTTTCTCTTTAATTCCTTTCTCTCGTGTTCAAAACTGTCCCAAGGGCCACTTAGCGTTAATCAGAATATCACATGGCTTCATCTGGAAACCATGAAAGATGAAGAGGAGAGGAAGAAGCTGGAAAACGGGACGACCGAGCTGACATCTTTTATAGACAACGGAACCATTCAGATGAGCGACTCTACCACACAGGAACAATATCCTCCTCTCCACTTTGATACTGTGAAAAACGGCATGTTTTGAACACACTCACAGGCACAAATATTACTAATAGGGAAATAGCAATTTCATGGCGATGTAAATGAAATCTGACGTCGGTCAGTTTATCAATGTGACGTCAACAGAACGATGAATGATTTAGTAGAACAAAACTGAACCAAAACATTCATATTGTTCCACTTTTGCAAAACTATCTTTGTTCATGTCTGCGTTTCAGTGTTGCTGAGCAACGTGATGACTTATCTGAACATGTTTGGACTCCCTGCAAGAATCCTATTCTACCTGCTCCTGCCCCTCATGCTGTTTTATTATGCTGTGCTGCAGAACAGGGACAGGTAATGAACACACTGAACACAACAGGCCAGCAAAAGTTTATGTGCTCCGAAGCTCTGAAACTCTCTTTGTTTTTGTTTGATAAACAAAGAAGAAAGAAAACACCTCGATCGTTTCACTAATGACCATAAAGTTTCTGAGATGATGTGATCATCATGAGGTTGCTGGATAATTCCAGGAAACGGCTGCTAATAGATGGTGACGGAGTTCTGAAATTCCTATTTTTGTGCAGAGACGTAATGTGGTAATGTTCTCTTATACCTTTTAGAATTAGCAGTGCTTTCCATTGTTTATGCAACACTACATTAGCTGCAACCTGCAGCTTTTTACTTAGCTTCTTAATTTTTGTTTTTAGAATGACCGATCTCAGCTCCCAGATTGTCAGACTATTGCCTTAAACAGAGGCAGCATCTCTGCAACACATCCTAATCATCCCAATACAGCACGATAACCAGCAGCTACATCTCAGACTGTGCAGACTGAAGTTAGCATGTTAAAAATTAAAGTTCATGACATGAAGATCGACCAAGGAGGAGTTTTTTTCTAATAGTTGAGAAGGCCTCTTCTCTCTAAAAAGAAGATTGCAGCATGCCTTAAGTTTACAAAGCTGCATCTGGAACAATGTACTGTGGAGAGCCAAGATCAACGTGGGGATGTTGGATTTAATGCCCTGCGCCATATTTAGAGAAAACCAAACAGATTCGACACAAACACCCCAAACAAACTGGTTCTGCCAGAACTTTCCTTCCCACTGCCTCCAGTGTGGAGCGCCTTGAGACAATTATTGGTGTTTTTTGGCACATATATATAGATCAACTTTAATTGAATTGAAGAAATCTTGTAAAGAAAATGGGCCCAAATCCCAACACAGTGATGTGAAAGACTGATTAGTCACACACAAAGCGCTCGTGCTGTTAAAGGTGTGCTTAGTTTTCTTAGATTTTTGCTAAACCAATAATTACACATTGTAATGTGTCATGTTTTATTCTTCATCTGAAGCTGTATTTATCTCATTTTAAATTAAATTAAAGAGTATTTTCTTTTTCACATTACTGTACTTGTAGTTTCTTATTTACTTTTTATGCTTCAGTAACATCTGTTATGCAGATGCAGTCACTGTGACCTCTCTATTTCCACCAGGCTGGAGTTGCTGTTCAAGCAGATGCCTGAGCTTCTTCTTTTGACTTGGCACACCATGAGAGTTTTCACCTTTTTCTTTTTCGAAGGAGCCGTCTCTACCTTCAAGAAGAACATAAATGAAAAGTAAGACGGCATCTCTTATCTTAAATTATTACACTGTTTATAGGATTTATATAGAATTATTTTACTTGAAATCTTAACAGTTTTCCATCTCAAGTATTTCAGCCAAACTCAACTGAACTTGAATTTCTGTGTTTTAGCATCATGCCGGTGGCCTGGGTGCTGTGGCAGAAAGACCAGGCACAGTCTGAGGCGTCACAAGGCCGGAGGCCGCCGTCGTCTTTCAATGAGTTTTCTTCACGTTCAGAGAACGCCAGTGAAAGATCATCTCCGGTTTACAAGAAACCCAAAAAACAGTCTTTGTGAAATACTGTTGTAAACAAGTGAAGTGCAGATTTAACATGTTCTAAAGTGTTGAAGAGTTTACAGGATTGTGATTTATGAAAGCTGAGTAAAATATCTGTATCTATGTTTTCATACCTGTGAAATTGTCTTGCTGAGGCAGTGGAGTGCAGACCTTCATAGTTGGCATAGTTTTGTCATTATTGGTTCTTTAACACTCAACGTTGTCCTGGATGTAGAATCCTTTAAAGCAGCGGTCTCCAACCTTTTCTGCACCACGGACCGGTTTATGCCCGACAATATTTTAATGGACCGGCCTTTAAGGTGTCGCGGATAAATACAACAAAATAAAACTAGTACTGGTACCGAAAAAAAGAAAATTTATTCATAACACACGTGAAAAGACCCAGGAAAACCGATAAAAACGATAACAAAATAACGCTGAAAACCGATAAAAACCCTGAAAACTATACATTTCACACCTGAGCCTCAACTCTCGCGGCCCGGCACCAAACGACTCACGGACCGGCACTGGTCTGAGGCCCGGGGGTTGGGGACCGCTGCTTTAAAGAATTTATGAAGAAGTTATGAAACCAAACAGTCGGACAAATCTATCCCTGAAGGTGTTTGACCTGAAGATGGTATGATGTAAAAGGTCATTGAAAGGCTGTAATCAACCCTTCAGAATTACTTTCATTTCCTTGGAGAACATTAAAACTACAATCTTTAAAATGCACTGTGGTTAAGCTCTTCTAGAAAAAAGTCAACATGTCTCAGTCTTCAAAGAAACTAATGAAATGTTTTATAGTTTAATGTCATTTTTAATACCAAAGCACAAAATGTGACAGAAATGCACATGGTTGTGGTATGTCTGAAAGTCCTGTTGATCTACAGTGAGTGCTCTGAAAAATCAGAACATCACTGACAAAAACACTCATGGTTAAGAATTTATCTGCAGGGTGACGGTTAGTCCTGTGATGAGCTGTTACACAGTAGGGCTCTTTCATCGTCACCTCACTATCGTTTTACAGAGTCGGTGGTGAACCGCTGTTGCCTCCGGCATGTCTTCATTTCATTTCCAGACGCAGCTTCATAAAGATCAAGGAATTCTGGGAAAGGGCACAAATACTAATGTGTGACAAGTTTGATGTCCAAGGAGCAGAAACCTACTTTCTAAGGCTTGTTTGCCTTGTATCAGGTCTTTGTGTTCCTCTTCTAACATTCAGCTGTTAGAAGCTGCGGTCTTCCAGTCTGTGCTCGATGCTTCTGGTTTCATTTGAGCAGCCTGCTGTTATAAATGAGGCTATATTGAGTTGTAGCCTTAGGACCTTCTTCATGTTTGATGCTTTTCTGCTTAATGACATTTACAATATAAAATAAAGCAGTTTTTTTTAAATGATATTGTGTCTGAAAAATAGATTTTATTCAAAACTACAAAATCCACCAGGATTTTATCTCAGTTGCTGTGAATCATGTCACGTGCACGTGCCTGCTGCATCTGCTCTTTCATGCTGTTTGGGAAGAGTACAGTGTATTTTTAAATCGCCCAGATACTTTCTATACATTTATTTATTTATTTTTTACAAAGGCCACAACATTTAGACTTCAGCAGTGTTGCCATTTGTAGCTGTTGACATTGATCGGTCTGTAAATGTCCGACCTTATACTTATGAACTCAGTAGTTCATGTCAATATTTGCAGCCTTAAATATAAGATTCAGGAAATTCAGTGACTGTTGTCAACAAACAGTATAAGTGTGCTGGCTATTTCCGAGAAGTATTGCTTTATTAACGAAAGTGCGCCGCATTCTCGGTGACCATCTAATCCACCTTTCACACTCCTGTCTGAATGGAAACGTGTTGACACAGAGAGGAACAGATGATTTTGATCTCTCAGCTCCGTGTCCTTTTTCCTACAGATGGCCTGCTACCTGCAGACAGATCCTCTTATATAATAAATGTGGATGGATAATACAGATAACACACACACCTGGTGCTGTTCCGCATCAGCCGCTGATCCCGCCAGTCAACTGGCAGTAAGCTGGCTTTGCGAAGAAAGAAAGATGCCCTTGCTGGTTTTTCAGTTTTTGAGAGTATGTGGCAGACGTGTCATATAAAGACAACACGGGCTAAAGGTTGGAAATGCATACGTTCTTTTTTTTGTGTACTTTTAACGTTAAATTGTGCCAAACTAGGTCATAACGTAACGCAGAATGAGATTCATCCTCTGTCAGGATGTAAAAAATGTAACGGCATTCTCAAAAAATGAAATGAATGTGTGCATTTTCCATCGGGCACTTGCTTAACTGGGCACTTACTCGTCAAACCCTCTGCTCAAAAGCAATAAAAAAATGAGGACTGACACCAGTAAAACTGGGTTCACATTGCCCACTGTCTCTTTAACGACGATATCTCTAAAAGTACATTCAGTGATCTGCAGCACAGCGATTATACCGTAGAGTGTTTGCTATGTGAGCTGAGGAATAATTGATTCCAGGTTGCTTTTTGCTTCTTTCTGACATTTCTGTCTCTGATAAAATGCTGCAGACACATCTGGAGGTCGACTTATATTTAATGATGGTCTTAATGCTTTTTTGTTGCTTGAGATGATGAAAATGGGTTTTGACAAATACTGCCTTAAAGGTATAGATGATCTCCATCTGGTTCTCCGTGCTATTAAAGCACACATGCATAAACACAACGTCAAACCAAGAGAAACACATCAGATGTGTCTCAGTAAAAATATATATCGAGTGAGAGTTTATGCTCGTTTATCTTTGCCCAGTGTCACTGAAAACACTTCTACAAATGAAAGTGAATCAAAATCTCTCCTCAAGTAAATACAAAAAGGCATTTTTAAAATTTATGATTTCATTTATTAAGGAAAGAAGCTCTCCATGTGTCTAGTTGCCCCCTAACACTAATAACTGGCTGTGCCACCCTTGCCAGCAAGAACTGCAATCCAGTGTTTGCAGTAACTTGCAATAAGTCTTTCATATCACTTTTAGTCTACTCTTCTTTGAAGGATTGTTTTAATTCATCCACACAGGAGGATTTTAAAGTCAGGCTAAAGCATCTAAACTGTTGCTTTGAGTCAACCGGAGATCAATTTTCTGCTGTTTCAGATCATCGTCCTGCTGCAAAACCCAAGTGTGCTTGAGCTGCTCAGGGTACGAGCATTATCAGCATCCACATAACTCTTGGAAATTGTTTGAATTACACTTTCATGATTAAAAATTATATAATTTATGTGTAGTAAATAAAAAAAATGTGGCTGTAACTGACAACTTCGTCTTACACAGTCAACACGTTGCTTGTGTCATGTTTCATTGTGTAGCGGGCAGGAAAATGCAGGACTCATACGTGGGGAGGGATGAACTCAAACGGCAGCTTTACTGCTGGAAAAAACAGATTGGTACTGAACTAAACACACGGAGCTATAAACAAGAAACTCAAATCAAAAACCAGAGACACGAGGGAGCCACACTGGGAACACTGGGAACTGGAGCACAGGAAACACACAGTGTGAGGGAACGATGCGACAATGAATGGAGGTGAGCTCAGACAATAAATACACAAGGAGAACATTAAATATGTTGTTGTTATTATTATTATTATTATTATTATTTTTGTGTGTGTGTGTTTATGTACAGCTGTTTATGTCTGTGTTGTTTAGACTTTGACTTGATTGTTTGCTTATATTTAATGTAATTTCAGTAAACAGGCACCGATGTGCACGCTCTCACAATGTTCTCTCCTTTCAGATGCCCTGGATCTTTCTTTGCCTTGAAGATGGGTCATCTGGGGGATATTGTTTCTCCTAAACCTTCAGCAGCCCTTGTGATCACACTAACACACACTAGACTACACTAAACTACACTAAACTACACTACACTACACTCGACTACACACTAACAGATTGTTCAGTTTCTAATCTTTTCTTCTGCTTCCTCTACATCTTCTGAATTTAGAGCCGGGATGATTAGACTGAAGAAAAGTCTTATTTTTGCTTATGAACATCACTCTGTCATTTCCTGGTAAAGCAGAATAGTCGTTTCCTGTTTGCCCTGTCTGACCCTGAGATCTTAAACTTTCTCTAATTATCCTTTTTAATGTAGGTTTTTCTTGGTGACTATTGCATGTGTGTAGTGCCTCCAGTTAAGGGATTTTTGGCCAAGTCAATACAATCAGAAGGGACAGGACCAGAGGACGGGAAAGAGAAGTTTGTAAGAGAGTTAACAGAAGGCGAGGAAAGAGAGAGGACAGACACTAAAAATCAGCTTTCACCTGCTGAAAAAAAGACACAAGCAAAAAGCCAACAACACAGTCGGGAAACCACAGAAACAATGAACACAACAGTAATAATAAATAATTAATAAATATGATTATTTGAATAAATGTAAATAAATAATAAATATTGAATGTTACTGAGCAGCATACAGTACTAGTAATGCATGAGATGTTTAGATGCAGCAGCCAACCCCAGACAGTGTGTGTCTGTGGGTACCTGTGTGCACACCTGTGTGTGCGAGCTCGTTCGTATTCATAAAGTTCTCCATATAAGTGTCCAGTAGTAGGTGTAGCCCTGCCCCCCAGGACATGAAGCAGGCGTGGACGAGATCCAGGCCCCAGACATCTAGATGCCCCCCAAGGACGACCACTGCAGAGGCAATCGTGCCACCCACCCAGAAAAGAGCGGAGGAGTGCCTTGGACGGTGTCACCCAGCAGCCACGGTGCAGAAGTCGCAGGGCTACGCCAGAGCAGACCAAGCCCCGGGCCCAGAGGTCCACGATCTGAGGGGCCCCCACACTCAAGGGGTCCAACCGAGCTGGGGGGGGGCTTGGTCAGATTTGATTTTTGTGGTTAGAAAAGCTGATGAAAGTTGATAATAGTTAGTAGTTATTTTAAAATAAAACAGATTATGTGGTGTCTCCATTCTAAATCTTTTTTAAGCTGTAGCAACGCTGTTTGTTGTATCAGGGAAACCAGTGAAATGAACGAAGTATTATCTACTGTTTAATATGTGTGAGACATAAATAACAAGAGCCGACTGCTGTGCATCTCATGACTGGATATGGTGAAACACTGTTGTGTTCTGAAATTGCTGCACAAGAACGTGGTTTAACCACAGTTCCCGTGTTACCGCCTCATGACTGAGATGATTGTATCCATGCTGATGTTTTCATGCTGTTATTCCCGCCTGTCCTCCCCAACCCCATCCAGAACACGATGCTTCCCTCTGCACACTTGAATAAATTCCCCTGTTGAGATGAGAGATGAGAG